CTCATTCACGTGCGTAACCACCTATGAATTGGATCATTTTAGGCGTTACTGAGTATAACCAAACGTAATTCCTAACGACAACACTGAATCACCATCACTGGGTACTAGCTTGAGAGCAGCGACCAACTTGGTTTAAATACGCCATCCACACCTGCAACATCATAGCTCATTCACCAGACTGTGTCTGGATATTCACCGATGTTTCGGACAGCTGGGCCGGCTGTCCTTTGTCAAAGCGTGAACTGACTTTATCGATTAGCAATTCAAAGTTGTGGCCATACGCGTTGGACATAGGCTGATCGATTTTGCTTCGCTTGCTGCTGGGCCCTCCGTGTTGATTTTGACATAACTTTACGGCAATTAGTGTTGTGGTCCGTCCCCACAGTAGAGGATGCTGGTAATCCTTCTCCCTCCTCCACTGGCTGCTTGCAAATCCTAAGTCCGATTTGATCTAGTCTTGTCCTTTACTCAAATAATGGCGCAGGACTTTGTAGGCCGCGGAGAGGTCCAGATGCTTGTTGCCGGAGTTGGCGTCTGATAACCATGCCTCAAATATCAGTCTTTCCGCTTCTGAGGTTCCCCGGCCTAAGATGGTCGTTCCTTGAATATCGATGTTGTGGCCAGTCTCTCCGATATGTGTTACAAGCTGTGAACTTGGGTCTACTCTCCGGGCCGCCACTTTGTGTTCGTGTAGGTGGGTCTGCAATTTGCGCCCTGTTACTCCAACATGATTGCAGTCTCCCATGGCCAACACATACAGCCACAATTTTGAATAACTGATCGATTATTTCAGCTCATGCTTTGACAAAGGACCGCCGGTCCAGTTGTCCGAAACCTCAGCGAACATACAAACACAGTCCGGTGAGCATACTATGGTCTGTGATTCTAATCACGGAAGTCTGAATTTCCCGAACCATAGGTGCTTCTTCTTTCATCAGCAATTCCAGTTTCATATTCAAAATGACCGATTATCGTGAATCGAGTTCAATTGCCGGCCGAGGACTTGCTCACCGTGTTTGCAGGTACAGACACATGAAGTGAGTCAGATTGGAGAGGCCACTTCGTGCAATTGAACCACATCGGTAGAGTTATCATTCCATCTGACTGATAAGCACTCTCAGAAAATGTGATATACCCGGGCACCCCTGTATACGGTTTCCCTACTTATACGTACACCTGCAGTGCAAACACTCGCCTAAATTCACAATATATTTCCTCATCATGATCGCGCGTAAATGAAATAAATCCTCCGGTCTTAAGGCTCCACTGTCAGTCTGCCATGAAAAAAACTGTCTTTGATCGTGCCAACTTATTCAGTATCAACCTATAACACAGAGGACCGAGATCAATCAATTAATTGGTAATTAAGGCCGTAATTATTATGTATGTGACCGATTCTATTACTGGGTCCCAAGGTATTAGTTATTACCATCGACAATTCTCATTTTGCTTGCTATGGAATTTGGATAAATTCATCGGCTAGCGTTACAGGACCCTCCGCCGATGACAAATTGGTCAATATACCTTATTCCAACGTCTATTGACTTCATTGCGCTCCCAGATTTCTTTTTGCCCGACAAAGTGTTTTGGTGTTTCGAGGAATTTCTAAATATGGCCCAGGTGTTCATCTTCAAAAGAACCAATATCCAAAAAATCATTTTTTCTCGATAAATCCATTTAACTGATATCTTATTTTAAACGTTTTGATATAAACGTCAAGCAGAGTCTGGATTCATAGACGAAAACTTGAAAATTTGCCGGATTTTGAAGGAAAACCCGAAAATACTTGTAAGCCAATAGCAGTAATATGTATTAAAAATGTTGGCTAAAAGATATATAGGAAGTGGCATGGCTATCCATTCAATTGACCAAAGATTAAAACTTATTGCTCTAATTAAAAGCTACTTTTACATGTGCGGAACTTAAGTTTTATTAAGAAAATTATATTTTTCTAAACAAGCAATAAGTATTTTTGTACTTCCTTTCCGTAACAAATTTGCATAAGTTTTCATACATGCGTTAATGACAGTTTGCGGGCGATTATCAATCTTTTGCAAACTTCCGCATTTTGCATAACTTCCCCGCCGTAGTGTTCTGCTACGACTTCTACTACCAACACCACTACTAATACCGCTACTATTACCACGACTACTTCTCTTACTACTAGTACTAATTACTACCACTACTAACGTAACTAATAAGGGAATAACTAGCACTAACAATACTAATAATGCTACAATTACTACCATTTAGTCGGGAACAGGTAGCTTGGCGAAGACGTGTACATCGAACTTCGTAGGTTGCTTAATTTCGAAAATAAATATGCTTACACTTTTGAATAAACACGCATTGCGATAAGCTATCACGAAACGCATAACCACCTGAAGTCAACAAAACGCGCTAGGAATTGGAAGACAGTATGACGGTGCCCGCGTTTATTTTAACCATACGCCGAGAGTTTCGTACGATCAACACATTTATCATTTGAGAGCGCGAAATATCTTGATCTGATAGCAAATGCATGTACACGTTTGGATTTTGTCGTACCATTTGCATTTCCCAGGATTCAAAATGCCACGTATGAATGGGTCCCAAAATGAGTTTGGTGGTGCACAGTAAAAGCATACCCGGAACAGCCATAATTTTGTGTGAGTGGGATGAAGACATTTGTGGAATATTAAGCTATTTGCACACTCGGCCGAAATCTCAGACAGATGATAAAACGCGGGCAGACGTATGACGCAAGTGGAGGCAAATCCCCGAGGACGAGGAGAAGGAGGCGATAAAAGTTTGTCCAACCACTCACTGAAATATTTCTGGCCCGACAAAACATAAACAACAACCAGACATAATATGCGTTGAAGGAATGCTATCGGGGGGCGAACAATTATCTAGGCTGTTGGCGCTGTTCATTTCTGTAATCGACAAATGCCCGATGTATGCATACTTAAATGCCCGATGCTGCAAACGTAAACAAGTCGTCTCTCTCGGAAACACAGCAACGGCCGTTTCGAAATTGCTGCCTGTATCTCTCGGCTATTATATATCGTTTTGCAATTCGGACTACTGGAAGCTCGTTGTTTGAGGAAGATTAATGATCGCTGTCAGTAACAGTTATCACAAGGGCAGAAGCAGTGAAGGGGGCGGGTGGATATTAGAGATACAGGCGAGTAGTGCTATTAAAAACACCCCCGCTGAAAGCAGATAGAACAGTTGCAAAAACGCGTCCAACAGCGACTTCATATTTTATTATTAGGCGACGCGATAGGGAGAAAATAGATATATATGAAGAGACGAAGCTGCTAAATCCGCGAAAAAACCCTTGGGGCTGTAAGAAAAAGCCTAAATCAAAGAATATTAAAAGTAATTTCAAAGGCCTGCACTTTGTTAGTAGAATTTTTATTTTTGCAAAACAAAAAAATCAAAGCCCAGAGACCAAACACTGACCCGCAGCTTTAAATATCCACCAAAGTCCGGACAATCCTTCTACTGGGGCCTTGCTTAAGTTTAATTCCGCACTATTTAATGGCTTACATATTGAAAGGAAGCAGCACGGCTGTCGTGATGGTTATTTTGGCTGCTGCCGTGAATCAACACAAAAAATTGCGAACTTATTACCAGCATCATTCAGGCAAAATGAAAAGGCGTTCAGAGCGGCCCGTTTTTTAAATAAATGCAGTCTTAAGACTAAAAAATTGAGCAGTCAACTTAAAGGCGCAGTTTCGTCGAAAGTTTCTAAAATATTGAAAAACCCTAAGCGCAAAGAAGCAGTTCCTTCGAAAAGCAAGAACTAGGCGATACCGTCTCGGCGGGTATATTCTTATTTTTAAAGTAAACCCGTAATTAGGATAAAATGAACGCAGCAATTTAGAATTAAATAAGACTTCAGTGAAAAGTGAATTTTACCGGAGCATTCGTTTTTAGGAAAAGATTTGAACTGGATATTAAACATAAATTCGCCTAAACGCACTGGAAACTCTCCCTGAACATATATTGATCTTTGAAAAGGAGCAGTTAAAAAAAACATCCACCATTCGAAACAGCTATTTGAATTTCAGGAATTTATGCCCATACCGACTGCGAACAAAATCAAAAAAAGTTATTGATAAATTTTTATTCCGAGACCGTGCGAATCCACTGCATAAATGTGTGAAACTGCCACTTGTTAATCTACGATATCTGTATGCCAAAATGCTTATTTCTCTTAAGACTTCGAGAATTCCTAAAAGGTGGCGTTGCTTCCGTCTAAGAATTGAGCAGGAAAGTATAAGAGAACGGCGCTCCCTATTGAGGGCAGTGAACAGGAGAGTTCTAGAAAGCAGTTTAGAGGGAGGAATAGATGTGATCACTGGTATATGGTGTTTACCGGCCTGAAATCCTGAAAGACTAGGCTCATAAACACATGCGTCGTATCTAGTTCTTTCTATTTTACTTCTTCTGAGCGCTCTGTATGCAGAAAGTGAACAGTGCTCAATATAATGGGCAGGGAAAGCATTTATAGGCTAAACCAGATACCAACTTTAATTCCCGAGTGGGTTGCTTATTACCTATATATACCGCGAGATTTATAACTATCTATCTCTATATATTGGGCAGGTTGATATCACTTATTAATATGCAAATTCATTGCCTATAAGTCCGTGCAATTCCTTGGTTATTTGTGCCAACGTTATCTTTAAGTACAAGTAAGTAAGTAACGTTATCTTTTACGAAGCTAACCACATTTTCTTTCATGATTGAATTAAACATTCCTTCTGATCGTGGACAAGTTTCCGACTTTCTTCAAACTTCTACTTCATAATTGAACTGTTGTTCTAGCTGTTGGGACGCGATTGAATTGTTGGGAATAAAGAATGTTGCTAGGTGATACACGCAATGGTGGTAATACCCGAAACACGCAAACTAATAAGTTCAGATTTCAAAAAGAGTCTCTTTTTGGGGACTGAGTTAACGATCAGCAAAACCTACAGTAAATTTCTTTAGTCACCAACAAAGAATAGTGATGACTCACCATGGCGTAAGGGAATCTGTGGTCTTCCTTCAGTAGCGAATTCATAATGGGCTCTAATTGAAAAGCGTCAACAGCCATAGATTCGCCTGACGCCTCGTAGAACAGCCGACGCACGCGGGGTAACATGGTTTCATACTGCGGATCCGGCTCAGTCAAGGAAAGGTTGACGTTGCTGAAATCTATCCGTCCAAGTGCGGGCCTGTAAGAGAGCGCGAGAGACAAAACGGTTCAGAAAATCTAAACAATGCCCAGTTCGCGGCAGTTCAAGTAGGCAAGATTCTTTTCGATACCTAGAATGAAAAGTGGATTAGATGTCACCAGTATCTATTTAAAAGGAAAACTTGGGAAAATGTTGCCCTTCACTACTACTGTAAAAACATACAATAACATTATTTTGCGGGATGAAATGGTCAAAACTGACTACCCAAACTTTTGTACACGAGCGTAGTTAAAGAGCTTCGAGATGCTCGAGTCATGATTCTCAGAGCCCAGTTCATCAAAAAGCGCAATGATTTGACGTTCCCACACTGCGTACTGAGAACTTGCCTGAGCAAGAGAATCAGTCACGTTAGAAGGGC